TGAAAACCTGGAATAAGTCTCAGCACAAACAATCATTTCACTCCACTTCTTTTTCCAAACACAGATCAAAAGTTGTTTCCTTCAGGAAGTCTTCCCCAGTTTACTTTTCCCACCTGATTGCTTCTTATCACTGTAGCCATTGCTTACAATATTGATTTGTGCTGATTTGTATGTTACTCTGTGTTTTTAAGTCAGTGTGTGGGTGCATGTGAGTCTAGAATGTACACTTCCTGGCTGCTTCTTAGTGCTCAGGGGCTTAGTATTTGTATACTGTGTCTATGTGGGCACGTATGTCTATATAGCTGTGTGTATTTACATAGATTTTATGTGCAATGACTTACTGTGTGCCAAGACCTGGACTAGGTGACCTACAACTCAACAAATTAGGTTCTATTATTATCATCTTACATTTCCCATATAAGAAAACTGAAGTGCAGGGAGAGAAGACAGTTTGTCCGATATCACCCAGGCAAGCTAGGAGTGAGGCCAGTGTTTGATCCTGGCAGTCTGATCATGGTCTTCACCGTGACTCCATCCTCTGAAAAGCTACTTGGCCGACTCGCATGCAGTGGCCTCAGGAAGGACCTTGTCTTCAACTTAGACCATTCACCCGTTTATTGCTGACATGGGGTAGGCACAGGTAGGGTGGAGATGGTGGCAGTGGAGAAAACAAGGGCACTAGATTCTGTCTCACCTGCCCGAAGACACTGAGGGAGTGCCCGCCACATACTGGATTGGGTCCGGGTGCCACAGGGACACAGGTGGACCCATCCTTGACTTGAAGGAGCAGCCCTGCATTGGAGGGATTCTCCTCAGGCCGCTGCTGTGGGAGGGCCTGCCCAAATTAATCTTGATCCCGGCCACCTGAGCTGTCTCCACAAACCCAGGTGAACTCTGAGAAGCTCAGAGCTTTTCAGCGGCAGACCCAAGTGAATTGGAGCAAAACAGTTCCCACGTGCTTGACACGTGGGAACTCTCAGAGCCAACGGTTTATAAAATCGCCAGGGACTAGGGGAGGAAACACAGCCCAGAGAAGCATATCGTAGTTCTCTGGCATGGATGCATGCAGGCAGAGAGCACGGCCTTGGCACTTTCCTTAAGGTGCTCTTAGTTTTAGAACCCAGAGGCTTGCTCAGACAATTCACATAAATTCCTTAGTACCGTGCTGGCACATAGCAAGCTCTTAGTAAAGGCTAATGGTCACTAAAAATATTGCTTGTCACAGAAGGAACCTTTGATCCATCTATAAAACTGTCTGTTCATGAACCTCCTTGCCTTGTTGAAAGCTGTTCCACTCTGTTCTAACATCCTTTCGGGGTTTCTTAGCCAAGTCTATTCTTCAAAAGTACAATTTATTACACACTTCTTAAGTGCTGGGTACTTATGTATATTTATACATATTATCTTGTTTAATTCTCTCAGTCCTCTGAGAAAAGTGCTATTATTATACCCATTTCACGGGTGACGAAATTGAAACTCAGAGAAGTGAAGCAACTTGCGTAAGGCCACACAGCATAAGTAGAAGTACCTGGTTTACCTAACTACAAAGCCCACAGTCTTAACTACTACACTAGAACCTCTAGAATCTAGGTGGCCTTCCCAGGCCCAAATTCAAACAGAATCTGAAGCTGAACTGTCCTTGCTCTTACCTTTCTGAGCCTGGCTATGCCACATCCATATTCCATGTCCACTGACCAGAGGGTTTCTTTTACCCAATCTATACATTTGCCAACAAACAAATATTTAGTGAGTACCAGCGTAGTTGTTACTCTCCTACAATCAGCACATGCATTGCCCAGTTTAGAATAAATGACTTTGCCTAACACTCCCATAGGACGTGACCGTTTACTTTCAAATATGTGGTTTTGCTTCGTGCTCACAACTCTGGGATATAGGAATGATTATTGTCATTTCACAGCTGCAGGAACTGAGGTTAAAGAGGAGCTGTGGCTTGCCAAGGCTGCACAGATAGAAATGGGGGAGCTGGACCTAGAACCTAGCTCTGCTGACGCCAAGCCCAGGGTTTGTACCATCACACAGGCTGTTCCCTCAGCACCGGGGCCTGGGGCTCCCACTGTTCCAGTCAGGCCTGTGGAAGAGAGACTCTGAGGTCCCTGCTGAGTTGGGCCCCTGTGTTCTTGATACCCACACTTGCACTCAGCTCTGCTTCCCCTGCCTAACTGTCCCCTTTCTCCAAGGAGCTGAGAACATGTGGCCTGGAAGGGGCAGACTCTGCCCCTCTGTCCTCCACACTCCGGGGGGGGGGGGGGCGGACCCTCCTCCCATCATGCAGATTATGCTGAGGAGGTGATGAGACTTTTAGGAGGAACATTTCTGTATTGCACGGGAATGAAAATAGCCACTTGTTTGTTGCTGAACATTTGCATCCCCATTATAGGTCTCCTGTTAGGAGGGAAAGCAGACAGGGGGAGGCTGGTGCCCTGGTTGGGGGAGGGGCGAGGTCAGAGGGACAGCCTTGGAACATAAACTAGAGTCAGGCACCATACTGCTCTCGTCTCCCAGAACCAGGAGTTTTGCTTCAAGCTGAGGCGAGCCTGAGCTTTGCTAGGAGAGCTGGGCTGCATCAGGCTGGACTGAGCCAGGGTCTGCACTCGTTTTCTCTGGCCTGCTGGAGGGGCGCCATCTGGTCAAGGAGGCTGCTGAGGAGAGGGATCTGCTGTGACCCTCTGGGCTTTTCGGGTCCCTGGGTGGAAAACCTCAGTGAAGCAAGCGAAGATGCGCAGCTGCCACTCCTCCGCAGGACGTCACAGGCAGTTTCGAGCTGTTTTTTTCAACATGTTAAGTGTCTGGGGCTCTTGTGACCCAGGCTGGCCTCTTGGTGGGGCAGCCTGGGTGGGTCTGGAAGCCAGAGGTGCCCCCTGTGAGCGGGGGCAGAGTCCTAGCTGCAGAAACCACCAGGCTTGGGTTGTTTTTGGACTGCTCCAACTCGCTTCAGCCAAACTGATATCCCCTCGCGTTGTGTGAAAACATTGGCTCCCACGCTGACTGCAGAGTCTCCGCCTTGAGCAAATGTTGCCTTTGGGGCAGGCTGGGGGTTAGCAGGGTGAGGGGGGCCTCCTCTTACCCAACCCTCAGCCTCCATCCTCCCTCTAGGCAGCCCAGGAGAGTCCAAAACATGTTTCAGCTGCCCAGTGTCTTGCCATGGAGGAGTAGCTCTCCAGACTCTGCACACTGGCGGAGCTGCTCACAAACAAGACCGTCCCTGCTGGGAGCTTCCCAAATGCCTCCCTCCCCAGCTCTCTCCCACCACCTCCAGGACCAGCAGGCCCGTCCAGCCCCAGGAGGAGGGGCCTCCAGGCACTGTTTGTACGAGGGGCCAGGAAGGCTGAGGCCACAGGCGCTGGAGCCCAGTAGAAAGCCACTGACACAGGTCAGCGGGAGGGCTCCTTTCCTGCCCTTATCTGACCAAGTATCTCAGCACAGAATGTTCTGGTTGGTGTTTCTTGAACATAAATCTTTATTCCAATTGCAGTAGCTTTGATTGGAAAAACAGCGCACATTTCATCACGCTTTCACCCTGCTCAAACATCCCTCGTGCCCAAACTCTCTACGTTTCGAATTTGCCCCGTTTGGGTTGGGGTAGGGGTAGGGTGGGGAGAGTGACAGTTACAGAGGAATGAATATGCCCACTGGCTTTTTTTTTTTTATCAGAGGGACAATTTGGGCCTGTTCTCATAAAAGATTATTTCACCCTGGGGAGAAAGGGACAGGTATGGAAGCAAAATTTCCATTTCAGTGTAAGTCTGGGCTGAAAAAGTGTGCCTTCGGGGAAAGTACACACACACATACACACATACAAAAGAAATGGCAGGGGCAGGAGGGAGCTTGAGGCTAGGCGGAGCTCTGCTCCAGTGTTGATGAGGACATCCCCCTCACCAAAAAAAAGAAAACAAACAACCCAGGGTCGTTGGATTTCTCGGAGGCCAGAGGATGCTGATGCTGGTAAAGGTGAGATGACACACCTTCCTCTTCTCTCTGCTCTGTCCTGCCCTTCCCCACACCCCGTCCTCTCTCTCCTGTTGGGTTTCCCCCGTCAGAGTGAAGCAGGAGGCCAGGGTTCCCTTCTGGCCTGGCCCAGCTACCCCCCGCAGCTTCCCTGGTTTATTTGTGTTGATTCTTAGTCCACTTATCTTTGTCTTTTCTCCCTCCCCCGCCCACCATCTTCTCTGCAGGTCCCTGGGCCTGGTCCACCTTTGGTCACTTGTGGAAATCATCCAATTAGGAATAAAAAAGTTTTCAAAATTCCTTCTGGGTACGTCTCTGGCTCCCCTGATTATAAGCCGACGATGGGGCCATCGGAGGTTGCTGTGGGGCGGTTAGTGGGTGGCAGGAGTGTTGGAAGCCCTAATATTTTCTTGGGTAATGAAGTCTTTCTGCAGGAAGCCACTGGAGGATAAATTGAGGACCAGTCGTTAGTACTAAGGCAATCTTAACATGAAATCAGATCTACCGTGACAGGCCTCATGAGACGATTTTGTTACACCTCTTCCAGACAGCTTTTCAGCAAAAAGCAGAGCTCCCCTGAAAACAAGCCAGCCTCACAGGTCTTTGGTACAAGTCTCCTCCTATCTACACAGTGACTCCCTCCAGGGCCTGGCCTGGGCCTCGCTGAGGTCGGGGCAGCCCTGTGCCCGGCAGAGGTCTGCCTTCTGATGAGCCGTCCCGAACCTCCCCGAGTGAAGCAATCAAGGCGCAGGGATCCAGGCTGTGGGGCGGGTAATCTGAGGATTAGGGAGCTCTGGCTCTGGAATGCAGAACCAAGTTGCGATCCAGCAGACTTCCCTCCTAATCATGCCCGGCTCAGGTTAATATCTGAGACCAGTTAGCCTTCCCTGAAGGTGCAGGGTGGGCTGGGGTGGGTTGGGGGTTACACATGGGCCTGAGAGGGAGCCAGGGGGGCTGCAGACAATTCACCCTGCATTGTCCCAAGACTAGCAGAGGGTCACACTGGGAAAAATGACTGGAGTGCCAGCACACAGGATGCTTCCAAAAATTTAATAAATAATGATTTTTTAAAACTGTATAAACTATAAATTACCATGCAGTCCTTATAATTTAAAATAATTTACAGGTTGAGGTAGGGAGGGGCCCAGGAGAGTGTGGAGGGGTCGCTTGGGGAGGGCGGGGGCTGTCCTGCAGGTCAGGCTTTTCTCCCGGTTTTCCTGCTGAGCACGCACACACAGGCCGTGTCGATCCGGATGAACCGCCAGGCAGCCTGCTTGCCGTCCATGGTCAGCGCCTTGACGAAGGTGTGGGTTGTGGTGCAATAGGAGTTCCAGTGCTTCGAGTCAATGCCCCGGCACCCGCTGTCCACGGGATTGGGGTCCCGGCACTTGGTCTCAAAAAAGTACTGCTTGAATACACTGTTGTTAATGTTCACCTCTCCCAACACCATCACCTCCTTGCCCTTGATGTCCGTGGCGGTGGTCTTATCCCCCACCCAGACGCTGACGCTGTCGCACACGGAGAACTCCCCCCTGTGGAAGACGGGGTGGGAGGAAGACCGCTTGCTCCTGTGAGTCCTGTTGAAGGAGGCGGCACCCCCGGCCTCAAAGTCCAGATCCTGAGTATCTGCAGCGACAGGTGGGGGCTGGGTGCTAAACAGCACGCGGGGTGAACGCAGTCGCCGCTTTTTAAAAAGTTTGGGGTCCACAGTGATGTTGCGGGTCTGCCCTGCCACCCTTGCAGCTATCGCCCTGGCTGGGGCGCTACGGGCTCTGCGGAGGGCTGTGTCAAGCGAATGCTGAAGTTTAGTCCAGTGGGCTTGGGGGATGGCGTGTCCTGCTGGGACATTGCTCTCTGTGTGGGGTTCTGCCTGTGTGCCGATCAAAAGAGCTGTAATCAGAGTGTAGAACAACATGGACATTACGCTATGCACCTGGAAGGAAACAGAAACGAGGATTATTCCACAGAGGACTAAGTGTTGTGCACAGGCAGTTTCTGGGTCCCTCAGAATTGACCTCCCAAGAGGCTCACAAGGAGGTTTCACCTAGTAGTGTATGGGCAGGTGACCGTGGAATTTAACATTCAAACTGGGACACTTTCCAGCACGAAATGGGGTGCTAGCTACAATTACACTGGGACAGCAGGCACACACAGGGCTGGCTCAGACGACCTAGAGGTATGGTCACCCCATCCTTGGGGCGGGCTTTTCCAGGAAGGCACAGAACCCCTGAAATTCCATCCTGTGGCATGGTGTGAACGTGGGAGCATCACTTACAGAATCCTTTGAGTTCTCTCTGCTGGGGAGGCAGGTAGCATGAGTTTGACCCCTCTTCCCAGCACAATGGCTTGACTCCCCTGGGAAGGCAAGTAGGAAGGGCTCCAGCAGACCTGTCTCGAATCCTTAGCACTGAACATACCCTCTTCAGGCAGTGGCACTGTCAGCTCTGACATCTGGGGACTATTACCCCTTGTAATGAATCCATGAAGCATCATGTTTGGCAAAAAAGCATATGGCTCTGGGACCATCTTAGCCTGTCCATCTATCAGGCACCAGCTTCATATATAAACACAATCCTGATGTTTCCTTTTTGTGTGATGTTTTCAAACTTTTCAAATGTGTTCACTTCTAATTTCTCATTAGTCTGTGACTTAGGTTGGGATTTGTCATCTTTCTTTCATACACAAGGAAAGTGATCCACAGGAAATTAACTAACAGGCCTAAAGTCACTAACGAAAACTGGAAGAGAAATAGGATCCAAACCTGATCCCTCACTGAGCCAGTAGGGTAGGAAGGCCTTCCTTCCTCCCTGACTTTCTCTTTCATTCCTAAACATGCCTTTTCTTTTTATTATTTGATCTTATGTGAGTATAGACCAAATGGCATAAATCCATCTGTCCCCAAGAGGCAGTACAAGCCCCTTCTGAGCATGTGCCAGACAGGGCTCCACACTGCATGATGGTTACCCACCAGCGACCACCCCCTGGGTAAAGTAACTGTGCAGCCAGCTCTGCTCTTGTGCTCACTTCTAGTAAGCTCCTAGTCACCACCATCACGGCATCAAATGCCACCTCCTCTGTGAGGTTTCCCCACATCTTCTTGGTAGGGTTAGAGGTGTCCCCTGTAGAGGGTGTTCAAACTTCCAGTTCTATCCCTTCCCCATCTCTCCTCCCAACTCCCACAGGTCATTCTGCTCCCTGCCCACTTCTCCAGTCTGGCACAGATACCACTGTCTTCTCGAGGCCTTCTCAGATCACTCCCATCAAAAGTGATCTCTTTCCCTTCTCAACTTGAGAAGTGTGTGTGTGTGTTCTCTCCTACTAAATCAGTGTAATGAAAAGAACTCTGCACTGGATCTGGGGTTAGAAAACCTGTTCCTAGCTCAGTGATTCGTTAGCAAAGGGAAGTCACTCAATCTTCCTGAGCCTTAGTTTCCTCACTGATAAAAAGTGGGCAATAAACACTATTTCAGAGGGTTGTGGATAGGATTAAATAGGTGTTCACAAAATCTGAGTCATTCTAATCCTCTGTGGTCAAAGACTTTGTCTTCTTTGGTTATATTGCTGCTTACTCACTCTCTGAGCACATTCCATCCATGTCTCTTCATAGCACATTGTTTTACCTCTGTCAGGCTTCTCGCAAAGCATGATTGAAGCCTGTCTCCCCACTGGCTCTAAGGTCCTGGAGGGCAGAGCTGGGTCTCATTCACCCTGCACAGCTAGTCACTCCATCCTTTGGCATGTACCTCCCTTGCCACCCGCGCACAACCCTATCACCTCTCCTGGTGCTGTGGATAATCATCTAGATGTCTGTCTCCCTGAGAGCACTTTATTAGCTGTGCCATTTGCATTTAAGTATTTCTGGGGCCATGTGCAGTATGTACCTGCATATACTACCTGTATGTAGTAGGTCCTCAAAAACTACAAGGAGAATGGATGAAAGAGTGAATGGGGACGGCCAGAGAAGCTCACCATCTGCCTTCTTCCCACCAAGACGCAGGTTTCTTTTGGATTTTGTGCATATGGCCAAATGCTGCATTCCTCATCTGTTTTAAAGTGAAGCATTCTTCTCGTCAGTACTATACTTTTATTGAGCTGGAAATAGACAGCTCTTTGGTGAGATACCAAGAATAAAGCCACCAAATTCTTTTCTCTTTGGTTACTTTCAAAATGTTTGTGTTTGTTCCAATTCTCTAGCCGGCCATGCAGAGAAGGCAGTGGTGCATCCAGGCTTTTGGCCACCATTGGTTCTGTTGGCCACAATCTTGCAGATAATTCCAGCCAACTCTTAGAGAACTGGTCATCCAGTTGGCAGCGAATTCAAGCCTTTTACTGTTGCTCTTTTTCGGTTTCATTTCTTTCTGCTTCTCAGCACATGATACCTCTCATCAGGTAGATGAACGGAGAAGAAGCGAAACTGAAATTCACCCCTTTATATCCAAATTAGTAACATTTGGAATTTGGATAGGGAAATGAAAAAAACCCTAAAATTTCAGGGTTTGATGGCAAGAAGGGACATACTGCTCCCTCTTTCCCATTGCCAGAGGATCCTACCTCATTCTACTTTGGTGAGCTCATCCTCTTCTAATGAGTCACCTGAAATTCCTGTGTATCTGATGCTCATGCCAGGATCTCCAGCCCAGCTGCTCTTCAGAAAGCCAGTTCTGAACCTCCAGCTTCCTGATGGGCAGCTCTCCATGGACATTGACGTTTTAAACGCAAGACATCCAAAACCAAATCTTCATACTCACAATCCTCACTAGGATCATCGTCCCTTCCTCCTCTTTACTACAGCAGTAGCCCCACTGTGGGCCCCTTGATGATCTACAAAGGAGTTCCACAGCTACCATCTCTTGTGAACATTTCTCCCCATCCGCCTAAACACCTTTCTCTGCATTTTCCTTTTTTCGTCACTGGAACCACCGTTCCTTCTTTGCCAGCTCATCACTGGACCCTGCTCTTTCCTCTGTGCCCTCCATCCAGCCCTTCTGGTTCTGCTTCAGTAGCATCTCTTGAAACTGCACTTTCCATTTTCAACTCTATGCTCCTAGATGAGGTCATGGAGTGTCTCCCACCTGATGTCCTGGATCCGTATCTCTCTTCTTCCAATGCCTACTATCCCTAGCCACCCCATTTAACTTCTTAAAGCACTCCTCTGATCACGTCATTCCTGCTCAGAGGATCCGGTGGTGAGCCGGCTGTCTAGTGAGCCAGTAGGGCTGCTCAGCCTGGCAGGTAGGCCCTGCCCTCCTTCTTCTGCCCTCACATATTTTGCATTCCAGGCACCAGAACTCCTCACAGGCAGTGCCTGCTCTGTGCTCCCCCACCATGGCTCTTGGTTCAGACTCTTCTGTGCCAGGCATACTCCCCCTGCCCCTCCCTGCGTCTTTTCTGCTCTACACCTCTGCTGGTTGGAGTCCTTCCTGTTGTCTTTTAACACCCAACTTAAATGTCACTTCCACTGGGGAGCTTTTCCTGTTTTCAAAGAGACAAACTCTCTCCCTTCTCCATCTCTACAAGCATTTCCTTAAAGGTCTCTTACTGCAGCTGTGTTCTCCTCTTCTCCTCCTTCCTAGAGGGCAAACTCCCTGAGGGCGGAAAAGCATCCTGTTCATCTTTGTTGTGTCCAGGCTTTGCAGGAAGCTCCACCTCTAAGACTCAGTGAGTGTGCAGACAAGTCTCCTTCCTTCTGTGCTCCTTAATTTCTCCAACTGAGCAGTGATGCTTGTGGTATCTTCAACTCTGACATTCTTTGAGTTTAAGCAATTACACCACTTTTCACTCTGCCTGGCACTACCAAACTGACTTCACGAAGTTCTTAAAGTCTAATGCTGCTTCTCTATTCACTGTCAAGATGACATGTGGGAGCTGGCATCTAATCACAGTGGAGATCTGTGTCATGGACAGATTGTTTCATTAAGATTTGAAAATGTTGCAAATATATCTCCCATGTGGGTTTCCGATTAAAAAGTTTTTGTTTTTTTTAAGTATTTGACTTACTCCTAATAGTGTCCCTACAATCTTTTTAAATTAACAAGTCTTTCTTTTTAAAAAAGAAATGAAAAAACTGCTGTTTTCTCTATTCTAGTGATATAACACACAAAGCACAGTTTACAGAACATTCTCTCCTTGGCTAAAGGTAACCAGGAGAGGAGTTTTATTTATTTGTTTTTAAAAACAACCTTTGAAGTCTTTCTCCTGAAGAGACCACAGTCCTTGGTGGGGCTTCACTCAGCAGACGTCTGCGAGCTGAAGGATTAGCTGGGGAAGATGCAATTAGGAGCTTATGTGAAGGAACATATTCTTTATTTGTCCTGCTCCTACTCAGAATGGAAGACAAATGACTGAGTGTGGGGACCAGTTTGGTGCCTTTAAATCCAGCTACTAATGGGCCGCCCAACTCTCTTGGCCTCTCCTGGGCCAGCGGTACATTCTGTGGATTTCCAGTGGTTCACACACTTCAGTAATAAGAGAAACTTCCTGCACCAGGTGAACGATCTTCACACAGACTCTGGCCTCACCTGGATAGGTGATGAAGCTGCTGGACAGAGCTAAGCAACTGGCCCAAATCATCGTGGCTGGGAGGGCTGATGGCCCTGGGAGCCTTGCCAACTGTGCCTTTACAGGTGCATTGGAGAAGAGAGTAAGATAATTCCTGCCTTAGAGGGAGTGGTGCCAAGAGCTGTTAGTGATTCTCAAGCTAGAGACTGGATCATGAACCAGGGTCACTAACTGTTAGCAAGAGAGAAAATTCTTGTGGCTGAGGAAATCCAGCCTTCTCTTTCTCCCCCTCCATCTCACTCGCCACATTATGAGAATGGGTCAGGGGTCATTTCTTGTTTTACACTTGGCCGCCGCTCTAAATGTAAACTGGCTGCTGTCTTCAGTTGTAAAGACTCGGACACTCTCGGCTGTCAGGGACTGTGTGGAGGGTAAGAGGAATGCTATGGCTCCTCAGCTCCCCAGGGAGGTATTCCTAAGGCTGAAAAAGAGAAAGCCACTGACAGAACAGAGTCCAGTGCTTCTGCTAGCATCTCCCAGGCTGGATTTATTAGGAGAAGCATGGACTGGAAGGGACATCAGAGATTATCAAGACCAGAGGTTCTCCAACTTCAGTGCATTGGAATCACCTGGAGAGTCTGTTAAACCACAAACTGTTGGGCCCATCCCCAGAATTTCTGATTCAGCAGGTCTGGGGTGAGACCCGAGAATCTCCATTTCTCACAAGTTCCCAGGTGATACTGATGCTGCTGGTCCAGGGACCACATTTTGAGAACCACTAATCTAGTTCAATCCTTGAACTTTACAGAGGAGAGACACGGGCCTTGGGGAGCCTAAGTGACCTGGGGTTATGCAGCTATGAACGGCAGCCTCTGCACGTGGGTGCTTGGCATTGCTGAGCTTCAGCACCTTCTAGAGGAGAGAGGCCTGAGGCCACACACACACTGTAATTGGTGGGTTCCAGGATGCATTTACTCAACTACCAACATCAAAATGAAAATTCCCTTCAACAGACTGTAAGTTTACCTTCCTTAGGCCACAAATCCAGAGACCAGGGAACATCTGGATATTTAATTGTTTTTATATCTGGTTTATCAGGTTTTTGGATATCAAGTGGACTTGATCCAAAAGTAGTTAAAATGCCTATGATGGAATTATGCGGCCAGAAAGCCCTGGCAGGAACAGGCACCTGTAGATTTACTGGCCTACTCCAGGACCGAATGGGAAAAGAATCTACTGGTCTGAATTCTTAGAGACACATTTTCAAATGAATGAGGTGAAATCATAATTATCAGCAGTATCATTTATTGGGCATAACTGTCTCATTAACCATCACAACAAACCTGGGAGGTAGGCCTTATTATTCCCATTTTACAGAGAAGGGAATAGAGACGCAGGAAGAACAAATAACTCAACTGCGGGCACACAGCTGGTGGAAGTGGAACTCAGAGCCAGGCCTTTGTCTCCAGATCTAGAGCTCTCCCCACCCTCCACCCCATGGCCAAAGGCATGAAGAGTGATCAAGGACCTCCCGTCTCACAAGGTTGCCTGCTCAGACAGCCTGGGAGCTTGTGGAGGGTCTGAGTGATGCTCTCTGTCTACTGGAGGCCCTGCGTTCTATTACTTTAGAGGTAGGTAGCCCGGACTCTTAACACAGTCCTGGATGTTGTGGGGCCAGCCTGAGAGCATGAGGGACTTCCTCTCCCAGTCTGGCTAGGAGGGCCACATGTGCTGGATCACTAGGAGCCACCCCAGGCCCCCGATGACCAGCAGTTGGATCTGACTCTCCTTCCTCAGCCTGGGCCTCATTTCCAGCTGTCCTGGCAGCTCCAGAGCTAGGAACCTTGGTGAGACAGATGTCCCTTAAGAGCTTACCTTGGTGTGGCCAGGACAGAAAGCTGCTCCGTTGGAAAAGCCGTTAATGGGCCCGGACGCTGAGCTGAGCTTGGGTCCAGCATGCCATCCAACCCCCTGTACTGCACGACCACGGGCCAGGACTCTGTGGGAGGAGAGAACTGTCATTAGATGGGCACTTTGCCTGGGACGGATGGCTGTGGCCTAGGCAGGAGGGGAGGGATGTGCCAACAGGACAAACCCCATTCCCTGAGTTCTGGGACTTCGCCAGCATCAGGGCCCAGGAAGGACCTGGAGTCTAGCTCCCACAATTGGCAGGGGCTGATCTTACACAGACCTATGGGGGCACCTGCCTCTTACTCTTGTGCCAAAGCACTTGGTTTCTGCCTGGACACAGTCTCTGGCTCATCTTACACCCAATGTAGGTGGTTCCAGTCCCACACCAGAGTCCTGCTCCAGAAGACCCCTAGTCCAGCATCAAAATGGAAATTATTCTGTACGTTACACACATGCAGATGTAGTAAACCCAACTCTGGATCAGCCTAAGATCCAGAAGAAAAAGTCCTGACAATTGAGAACAAGTTGGCACTTTGATAAAAATCCAGATGAGTAACGGTGGCAAATAAGTCAACAGGACCACTTGATGGATAACAGAGAGCTCTTACTGAAGTAGGATGTGAATCTCTGAGAACCATGCCAAAAGTCAGATTTTATGAATCAGAAGCTATGGAGACCATAAAATGAGAAAAAAAAATTCTATTCAATTTTAGGTTGTAGTTCCTAGAAGCAATAGAAGGTTTCTCTTCTCCTCTCACTTGTATAAACCTCATGTATGTAGGTGCTTCACTCCTGAGCACCTACTACATGCCAGGCACTGTTTTAGGAGCTGGGGACACAGCAGTGAACAAGACAGACAAGGGCTCTACTCTCCTGGAGCTTACAGTCTTGTGAAAATAAACGAGCTACCTTCAGATTCTTCATATGCCATGAAGGAAACACATGGGGTATGATGATAGAGGGTACTGCAGGGTGCAGCGAGGAGCTCCTGCAGACAGGGGGCTCAGTGGAAAGCTGAGGAAGTGACCTTCAAATTGAGATATAAAGGATGAGAAGGAATGAGAGAGAGAGAGCATTCCAGACAGAAAGAACAGCAAGTGTAAAGGCCCTGAGGTAGAAACAAGTCAAGGTTGCTGAGCATGTAGGGAAGAGACCTAGGAAATGAGTTGGAGAAATAGAAGGAGCCAGGTCTGCAGGGACACAGCTGGGAGCTATGGTTCTGTCCCTAAGGGTGCTGGGAAGGGAGTGGAGGGTTTTAAGCAAGAGAGTGACATGACATTTTTTATGAATGAATGAATGTCTATCATAGAACTTTTTGTAGGGTGAGGTGCCCTCTACTCCCCCACCTCCCAAAAGTTCTAGAATGACATCTTTATCCTTCCTGTCTATATTCTCTTTCCAACTCCAAAATCCCCTTTCCCAATCATGTCTTTTTCCAGTGTGGACCCCCAGCACTTATCCTCCTTCAACCTCCTCTCATCTTGCACTACAGAAGCAAATGTCAATGAAGCCACTGTGGCCCCCATGTCCCTAATCACACAGAGGAGCTGGAGGACAGGGAGGTAGAAAGGGCCTCCAGATGATTCTCCTGCTGCCAGAAATCATGACATTAAGGACCAGGATGTTTCCATTCATCTTCCTTACCCAATCTGCTCAAAATATCCTTTTTTCCACAGAAGTACCAGAAAAACCTTCCAATACTCACCTGGGGTTCAGGCCTAGAGATGAGAACTTAAACACCCTAAAAAAAGGTTTGATTCTGTGGCAAAGAACATTTTCGTGCTCTCTCAGGGTTGGATTTAGCACAGGAAAGGGAGGACAGCATGTCCCCCAGGGTAAGATGTGGGCATTATGCGGTCTGCTTCCAGCGCTCATGTTAAAGAGGATCTGATCTAGTCCACAAACCCTTCATCCGGGTGTTTGGCCAAGTCTGACTGATCACTAGCCTGGACCCCACAGGCTTGTATCCTGGGCCAATTGGCTCTGATTCTTAGGCAAGTCGCTCAGTAACTTTAAGCATCTCTGAGCTTCCTCCTCCACAGGACAGGAACCGGCAGAGATGGTAGCTAAGGTCTCCTCCAGCTGTATCGTGTGTGATTCTATGAGCATTAATGTTTTCCAGCCTGCATCCCTACTGGGTGCTTAGGGAGTGCTTTCCTTCACCCAAACACTGGAGTTCATTTATTTAATTAATCAAATACTAATCTTGCAAGGCCTGTGCCAGCCACTGTCTTAGGTGCTAGGGACACACATAATACTTAACTTCCAAGAGCAAATAATCTAGAGGTGAGGAAAGCAAGCACATGAACAAGGATTTAAAGCACAATGTGATCAGCGTGATGTATATTTGACGTGATGTGGAAACATAGTGAAGGGAGGAATTAGTCCTATCTGGCCAGATAAGCCAGAGACATATGTTCATAGAGGAAGTAACGTCTGAGTGGAGTTTTTAAGGATGAATAGGAGTGCATCAGGGAAGAAAGGAAAGAAAGGCATCACAGAGAGCAGAGATCAAGAACTGGCTAGAGGTCCAACAGGGCCTAGTAGTGGGTTTTGGGGGAGGATGAGCAGAGTATGTGGTGGGCCTTATACAGCAGTAGGTGCTTATGAGCTGGCAGAGCTCATTGCTGTGGCCTGCCTGCTGACTGTTACTCCCCATAGGACACAAAAGCCTTCACTTTTAATGTATGGGACAAACAGGGAACCAAGAGTGACTCTCTTTGGAAATATTCTATATATTCCACTACAAGCCAGGATGGCCTCCAATATAGATGATGAAGGAGAGAAAAGGTCGATCTAAATAAAAAATTCCACCACTCCTAGGCAGACCTGGCTTCGTTGGGGATCAGCTCTAGACCAACCACAGTAGGGTCCTGACCATAGATCTGCAACCTCTGGTCTAAGCCACTTTGGTGCACGCCCGGGCCCCTGCCAACAACCTCTGGATGCCTGATTGTTGTATTTGAGGCTGTCTGCATATCCTGTGCCTTTGGCCTTCTCTTGTTCAGTGTAGGTATAGGTAGTTTGCTACTGGAGAGAGCAATTCCTCATCCAGAATACTGAAATACTAAATGATTCTCACAGATATTGTTGTCATTGTTTTTAGTCTCATGCTAACGAAGGTTGGGGCTCTAAAATTAAATCCAATTTAAATATCACCAATTTCAAATGCACGGATATTAGGGACAAACAACCCAAATGCATATCTATTTTTGAAATCTTGTCTGTTCTCATGGGGTAATCACTTAATCAGAGAGCTCTCACCCTTTTATAAATGCATGGAAATAAATCCCAGCTCGTCTCAGGACCAGGTTCTATTCCTTCTTACACTCACAAAGGGATACTACTGAAATCTGGTGTACCTCTTCTAGACCCAGATGACCCTGGCTTGCCTGGGTCTCAGGCTTTAAAGCATGATTCCCAAAGTGTGGTCCATAGAAGTATCAGCAACATCTCAGAACTTGTTAGAAATGCAAATTCTGAGGCTCCGCCATAGACCTAGCAATGCTTAGTGAAACCCAGTAATCTGTGCTTTAACAATCCCTATGGTGATTCTGATGCACACCTAAGTTTGAGAATCACTGCTTTAGAGGGTCCCACTCTGGCCCTCTTCTATCTGAAACCTCCCCATGGGGTGAGGGATCTAGGATAAAGAGAGGATGCCAACCCAGAGCTAGTCAACTGCTGTGGGCTGCCAGCTCGACTATAACTTTCCATACTGTAGTCAACCTAATGTCTAGACCATGCTCCCAGGACCCACGACCCTGGAACCCCTGTCCAACCAGCCCTGAGTCTGCTAGAGCTAGAAGTTTTTCTGAAGACCCCCTGACGTTAGGCCTATTTATATGGTTCTCTCTGTTGATGCTTGCCTCAGCATCCCCTTCATTTTCTTAAAATTGATATTTTGGTCAATTTCAGCCAACAAGCTTAGCCAGTTCAAACTCCATCAATATCCAGTGTAAGGGCACTGTCTGAGTCTGTGCTGGTGGTTTATCAGAGAGTGATGGACATCAACCGCAGCTACTGCAACCTGCCAACTGTCAATCAGCATCCTCCAAAGTCCTCCACACTCAAACTTTGTGGAAGATTCTATCCACCTCCTGGCTCCCACTTTCTGCTGCCCTCCACCCCCTGAATGCTCTACAGCAGTGGGTCTCAACCCTGGCCAGACACCGGAATCACCTGGGGAGCTTTCCAAACTCCCGATGCCTGTCTCACCTCCAGAGATTCTGATTCAACTGCTCTGGAGTGCTGCCTGGGCGCCAGCATTTTATAAAGCTCCCTAGGTGATCCCAAGGAAAAGCCAGGGCTGAGAACCACTGCTGTAAGGATGAGCGGGAAGCCTGACACTGGCTTTGATGACCTAGCAATTAAGAGAAAGTATCAAGAAATTAATATATCTCAGAAAATGTAAAGTGCAGAGTGGTCACATTATAGGCAACCAGAAAGTGTGAGAATATAGCTTGCAGACTCTCTGGAGGATATTGTCCCTGTCTTCCCTACCCTTCTCACCCCCCCAATTGTCTAGATATAATTGACATTTGTGAACTGGAAGTTTTTCTTTTATTCCTTTCATGCCACTTAAAATGCTCTTTGGTGTCAGAGCTATGGTTAGCTCATGATTAAGCCCAAGGATTATTTGCTGACATTTTTAATCCCAAAGATTTGGAGATGCTTGACCAAAAAAGACCTCTTGGACCACTCCTTGCATATGCTTGGAAGCAATGGCTAGTTCTAAGAGCAGCTTACACCACATCAAAGATGCTGGAGCAGCTGGCATGAACTGTAGCCTCTTTTCTCGTAGCTTCCACCAGCTAGAATTCTGTGAGTTGGGAAACCTCACTAGGAATGTTGGGCACTAACAACATCTTGTTGAGGGCATAATAATAATTGTTGGTGCTGTTGCTGTGATTTTCATTGCTTAATTCTCAGTCCTTAATTCTCTCCTCTCTCTGTTACTTCTTACTCTGAGCCTATACAAAAAGAGAAAATTTCAAGTCATTTGCATTGCAAGTCTTTTTCCCTAATTTTTAGCCTAATCAGAAGTTTTCTAGTATGGAATATGACTGTGAGGTTTGCTGACTAGAA